GAGAATCTATAGTTAGAGAAGTAGAATGGAAACTATGAAAAGTAGTAAAATGGAAACCAATAAAAAAGAGAATGTCAAAAAGAAGTCAACAATGCCTGCTGTTGCTTAGAGGTCAAGAAAGATAAAGATGAAAAGTATTTCTTACATTTAGTAACAGGAAATATGTTGGTGGTGATAGCCTATTGAGGACATGCTATTATTACTCTTCCACACCAGTCCTGGGCTAAGTTCTTTGTGTCCATTCTTTTATTTAATCGTCCCACACAGAATTAATACTCTTTGAGTGGCAGAAAGTATGAGGAAAATCTTTGGGATCTCTTTGAAATGGACACTAATCCCATTTTAGGAGGGCTCCACCCTTATGACCTATCACTTCCAGAAGGTCCCACCTCCAAATACACTCCTAATGGGCATTAATTCCCAACACATGAATGTGGGGTTGGGAGACACACACATTCTGTAGCATTCAATCTATAGCAACTATAGTACCTCATTGATACCATAACCAAGAGGAAAGATTTCTGTTTCATGGAGACAGGAAGGAAAACGGTAGGGGGTAGGTGGAAGCAGATATGTTGGGTAGAAGTGGAGACAATGTGCATAATTCATGTCAGCCTGTTTTCTCTAAGTTGTTGAATTCCTCCTCTGAGGCAAAAATGAAAACTGAGAACAGAGGTGAAACTGCATAAAATCTGAGGAAGGAAAAAGGGGACATCTCTTAACTTGGAACCTCAAAGCTCCTCAACTTCTTAGAACTGTCTTGCCTCCCGTGCCTAGGTAGATTACCTAGGTACAATTGAATCAGCCATGTTACAGTTTCCCCTCACTATAATACAAATGTTTCATTTAACAATCACAATCATCCCATGGACCAAATGGTTGATCTGTCCAGGACCAAGAAGGTTCTAAGCAGCCTGCAAGCCTTGACTTTGATTCCAATCGGGTGAGCACATTGTCCTCCTGCCCAGGGCATGTTGTGGGTGATGGAGTAGCTCATCAAGTCCATCAGTTCCACATGCACCTGCAAATACTGTCCCTGGTAGACTGTCCTGCCTAGAACCTTGGTGACCCTAGCCAACTTGATGGGCTGCATATGGCTATGGTTATACAACAGAGAGGCCATGTTACAGATCGATTTAACTTTGATTATGGGTGTTTAATACACTGAAGGACACCTGACAAAAGGGTAACCAATCCTGTTTCCTTGCCTCTCTAGTCAGAGCTCATGCTATACTAGAGTCCTTCCTCAGGAATTTTAGAGGTAGAAGTGAAAAAGAAAACCACCCATCTTTGAGTACAAGGATTCTATGATAGAAGCTGGGCATGGTGGTGTGCACCTGTAATTCTAGCACTTGGGAGACTGAGGTAGGAGGACTGTCACGAGTTCAAGGCCGGCCAGGGCTACATAGTCCATTCAAGGCCAGCCTGAACTACATAGCAAGACTTTGTCTCAAAAATAAATAAATAGATAGATAGATAGATAGATAGGATTGTATGGTAGAAAGCCTGGAGGATGTTGGCAAGTGTGGGGTTTTATAGGGTCAGTTTATAAAATCAGTGGCATATGTATTTAGTATATAGGGATTATAGGACTGGTTCTAGGACTCCCTGGGAAAAAAATCTACAGATTTGCAAAATCCACAGATGTGCAAGTCCTTCATATAAAATGGTGTAGTATTTGCATATAGCTTACACATATACTTCCATACACTTTGTTTTTTTAAAGGCATTCCTTAATGTCAGAGAATGAGGAGAAGAAGTCAGTGGTGAGGTCCTGTGAGACATTCTGCAGGCCTTGTAGTTCTCTACCCCTAGCAACAGGATAAGGGCCTCCAGGAAACTGATTCAGAAAAGAGAGCAGGATGAATGTAGCTAAGCCACACATATTCAGTTCCCTTTTCCAATCTCACAATGCGTAGAAACCACTCCTTACCTGCAGAAAACTTGGAGAGGAGGGATGCAAGAAAGCAGAGAATTCTTTGTTAGAAGTGCCTCCACATGGAGCCAGGATGGAAGAGGGTGAGACTCCCTTCTGCAGTTCTCGCCATGTGAACTAGAGAAGTAGATGAAGTTCTCCAAAGAGAAACAGAAAAACAAAGATAAAAACAAAATAGATGAGAGATACAGAGAAAGTCCTGATAGAATCTGAATCTCGAGTTCCGGCTGTTCCTCCTACCTGTGGAATTTTTCCATTTTGTTGTATTCCATGGAAATTGCAACAAAATCATCAAGCTCTGGTTTTGGTCTTGTAACATTTGATAATATTTACAAAGCATTTTTCTGCATTGGACCTTTATCAGAGACATGTATTATATATTAGAGATTGTCTTAGCCTGGATTGCTCCTAAATATAGCATGAAACAAATACTCAAGTTCAAGTCCTATAATGAGCAGCATGATTCCAGAAGGAGGAGTAAGACACAGGGAAGGGAGGCAGAGAAGGGGGAGAGCAAATATAAATATGCATTCTTGGCTACTCCCTCCCTCTTATAGAACTGCTAAATCACCTTGTGGAGCTCAGGGCTGCCAAACCAGAACAAAACTCAGGAAAAATATTAATCCATAAGCTCTAAGCCATAGAGAGTTTGACCCTGTTCTTGCAGGCCAGTGGGTTTCCACAGCATCCCTGCCTCGATGTCAATAGAAAACCTTGAGCTGGAAAGCTTGAGACTGCTTTGTGCTGCCTGACTGTGCTTGCAGGAAACTAGAGCCTATACAGATGGGGTTGCTAGTGGAGGAGCTGGAATAAGAAGCAGGTGAATCCCAGAGAACATGAACTGGTGCCCAAGAAGCATCAGCTACAGACACTTTATGCTTGGGGATGAAATTGACCCCACTAACTCAAGAAAAATTTGCATGTTTGTCTCTTAAATACACTACGGATTCCTACTTGGAAAGTTAATCTAAAAAACTCAACACTTTCCTCATTTAATTTTAAATGGACTCCTCTTTTCAGATAGATTAAAATAAAACCACTATTTACATTATTATAAATATCATAATTTTAATTATCTTTAATAATATATCAGGCTGCTTCCCCATTCTACCAAGCATTCAATATGTACAAAACAGGAGGAGTGTTATCTAAAAATAACAACCTCAAAATAATTGGTATAACATCCCTCTCACACAAACAATTTATTAATTCCACAAAATATTTAATGATGTAACCACAGACTCCCATTTTAAGAACATCCCTTAATGGGAGCCCAAAGAAAAACATATAACAGGAATGCCATGATTGGGCCAAGTTCTTAGGATTTCTCCTAGCAGCACCACAGCAATTGAGGACTGTTCATTAAATATTTGTTCCTTTTGTTCCGTTAGGTATTATTGGTTTCCTAAAGTTTCTCAACTTTGGGTAAACTTACCTTCCCCTTTTGACTCTACAGTTTTCACCAGTCCCTGTATTGAATCTTTACTGCTTGAAGATTTTCCTAGTTTTTATTTTCCTGAATGGATACTACCTAATATACAGGCACGTGTGTGCATGTGTATTGTGTCTCTGTGTGTAAATGTACATATATATAACTTTTTTTGCATTGGTGGTCATATCTCTCAATTTTTTCAATTAATAGTACACTTTGGAAATATTTCCTTATCATGAGCTAGCTTTTTCATTTTTGTAACCAGGACCCTACTAGTGAGTATTTGTTTGTTTCTAAATTGTTCACTATTAACAACAGTATTCCAACTAACAACCTTGCATATATGTTTGCATACTTGTTTGAATAGATTTATAGAATAATATGGAATTTCTAATTTGCTCCAGTTTTAAAAATTGTGTTCAAAACCCAACACCTGCTTTGTAGCCTACTTCTAGAAATTAGGTCACAATTTTTTTTTTAACCATGTGGAAGTCCTTAACTGTCTTTTACCAGTACCCTAGTTCCTAAAGAACTGAGACTTGGTTTTGCTTTTATCAGTTTTCTTTCTTTCTTTCTTTCTTCCTTTCTTTTTTTTTTTTTTTTTTTTTTGGTACTGGGGATCGAACTCAGGACCTTGCGCTTTCGAGGAAGACACCAGAACCACTGAGTTAAATCCCCGGCCCTTTTATCAGTTTTCTATCAGAGGTTAAAATCTTGCATCTGAACCCCTTTCCAAGTTCACTGCTACCTTGCCTCTAACAGACTTCTTTGAGATCCACTTGGGTCTTACAGTAGTTTTTGTACATAAATGACCACTTCAGTGCTTTGTCTGCCTATTGGGATAACTTAATAAATAACATAGGAAAGGGGATTTAGCTCAGTGGTTCTGCCACCTGCCCTGTAACCGCAAGGACCTGAGTTCGATCCCCAGTGCCAAATAAATAACAAGTCCCACTGATATAATTTGCACCAACTTTCATTTAATGCTTGAATTCCCAGATGCAATTTTCTCTGGTAAACTGGATTCTTTGTAGCTGCAGATGAACATCTTGAAAAGAGACAGAATTGCATATGATTCCTTTTTGTATCCTCAGGGCCTATTTTATTTTATTTTATTTTTTTATTTTTTTGGTAATGTGGGACCAGAATGACTCCATTTTGGAGCAGTCTCCTTTGTTCTCTCAAATTTGTGCTTAAACTAGGACAAAGGACGTAATCCACAACTCAGGATTCCTAAGTTTATTACTCAGCCATCTGTTTGCCCTAGAAACAAATGTCCAGGGCCCACTATCTATAGGACAATCTGTTAATGTGCTGACTGTCCACACAGGATGGTTGTGACCATTAGTCAGGATGTCTGCTGACCATCAGTACGTGACAGTAGACCACTAACCTTTGTCCCCATTCTTCTTGTGAAAACCTATACGTAATCCCCTTCAACCCCCAATGAGCCTAGCCAATCAAAATTCTACACTTCATACTTGCTAAATGTTAACCAATCATATGGCTGCTAATGACCAAAGCTTGTTGTATTCTCAATAAAAACCCTGCTAATTTGGAACTCGGGGCTCTCAATCTCGATCCGCTGTGTCAGTGACAATTGAGAGTCCCTGCTTGAGCTTGAATAAACGACCCTCATGTGCTTACATCGGAAATGGCCTCCTGGTGGTCTTTGGGACTTCACAATCTGGGCACAACATTTGGGGGCTTGTCCGGGATCCCAAGACCCTCAGGATCTCTGTACCGGAGGGTCAACGCCGGCTGGTGAGTGTGGGTTTTTTTGTGTTTGTAAAGTCTGGGCCCATTTTCTGGGAAGGTTGGCAGACGGTCTAGGCGGATGCGCTGCGAGGGCCGCCGACCTGGGATCCTGGAAGACGTTCTGGATTCCGTTGGTGGGGATGGAGTGCCCCGTGGGGACGGAGTGCCCCAAGAGTACGAGTTTGTGAGACTCCTGGGGGGACGGTGCGGGTCACTCCCGCGGTAGGGCGTGAGGTCGTCGTCCCATTTTCATTGCCTCCGATCGGGCGGAGGACGGTTTTGTCTTGCCTTGTGCTTTTCTGTTGCATTTGTTTGTCTGTTTATTGTACTGACTTGGACTGAGACGATGGGACAGACTGTGACTACCCCTCTTTCCCTCATAAAGGACCATTTCAAAGAAGTCAGGGAGAGCACTCATAACCTAAGTTTAGAAATTAAAAAGACTAAGTTCATCACCCTCTGTAGCTCGGAGTGGCCCAACCTTAGAGTAGGATGGCCCCCTGAGGGAACTTTTGATTTGCAGATTGTACGCAGAGTTCGTAAAGCCATCCTTCATCCTGACCAGGTTCCCTACATTGCCATTTGGGAATTTCTAATCTATAACCCACCCCCATGGGTTAAGCTTTTTTTGCCTTCAAAGCAACAGCAGCCTGAGGTAATCCTGACAGCCTGTGAAAAGACTCTCAAAGGGTGTGACAACAAAGAACAAACCGAAACCAAGCCGACCGCGCCGCTTTACCCGGTCCTCCAGGGAGGGACCGAAGCAGATCTTATTTTCCCTCCCCTTTACTCTCTCGCTCTTCCCCCACAACAGCAGGCTGAAAGAAATGACCCAGTCCCGGCTGGGGCTCGGGAAGAAGGGCCGGCCCTGGGTGCCGACAACCGTGATGGCCCTGCCCAGAATACTTGCCACCGACGTGCGCCTCGCTGACGGGCCCGGTGGACTCTACTGTTTGTCCACTACGAGCGATAGGGCCCCCTGATGAGCATGGAAACCAGCCTCACCATTACTGGCCCTTTGCTACCAGTGATCTTTATAACTGGTGCCGTCAGCATGCCAATTTCTCTGATAACCCTAGAGATTTGATTAACTTGTTAGAAACTGTCTTGTTTACCCATCAGCCCACTTGGGATGACTGTCAACAGCTTCTGCAGGTCCTGTTCACCACTGAAGAACGAGAGAGGATTCAAAATGAGGCCAGGAAATTGGTTCCTGGTGACAATGGTCAACCCACCACCAATGCTGACACTATCAACACTTCTTTTCCTCTGTCCCGACCCAACTGGGACTTCAACACGGCGGAAGGTAAGGAGAGGCTTCGGGTCTATCGCCAGGCTCTGCTGGGAGGCCTCAAAGCAGCGGCAAGGAAGCCCACCAATTTGGCTAAGGTAGGGGATGTACAACAAAAGTTAGATGAAAGCCCTGCTGCTTTCTTAGAAAGAATTCAAGAAGCCTTCCGTAGGTGTACTCCTATGGACCCAGAAGCAATTGAGACAAAGGCAGCTGTGATAATACATTTTGTCAACCAGGCGGCACCAGACATTAAGAAAAAGTTACAAAAAGTAGATAGGTTAGGAGAAAAGAGTATTCAGGACTTAGTGGCAGTGGCAGAGAAAGTGTATAACAATAGAGAAACCGCAGAGGAGAAACGAGAAAAAGCTGATGACCGCCAGACCCAAAACTTAGCTCGGATCCTTCTGGCCGCCACTGCGGGAGAACAAAAGGAACGTGAACGCAGACTGAGAAAGATTGCGGTGGAAGGAGAAGGCAAAGAGAGATGCAGAGAGCGTCCCCAGTTAGGAAAAAATCAATGTGCTCATTGCAAAGAATACGGCCACTGGGCCAAGGACTGTCCTAAAAGGAAACAACAGGAAGGTCACCCCAAGGCCCCTAACCTGGCTGTGGATGAACTAAATGATTAGGGGGGACGGGGTTCGGCACCCCTCCCCGAGCCCAGGGTAACCCTAAAAGTGGAGGGGAGACCTGTCGAGTTCCTAGTGGATACAGGGGCTCAACATTCAGTCCTACTTGAATCATATGGCCATGTTTCTGATAAAACCTCCTGGGTTCAAGGAGCTACAGGCATGAAAAAGTATTCATGGACTACCCAAAGAACAGTGGACTTGGGAGTGGGCCGAGTAACCCACTCATTTATGATTATACCAGACTGCCCCTACCCCTTATTGGGAAGAGACTTGCTCACTAAATTAGGGGCCCAAATTCATTTCCAACCCGGGGGCACGAAAGTCCTTAATCAGGAGGGAAAGCCCATTCAGGTGCTAACCATAAACTTAGAAGATGAATATCTGCTACATCAGAAGGAGGCCCCTCCTGATCCTGACATGGAACAATGGCTCACCATGTTCCCACAAGCATGGACAGAGACTGGAGGCATGGGACTAGCTGCGCACAGAGCACCAGTGTTTGTAGAGATAAAACCTGGAGCAGACCCTGTGCAAGTCCGCCAGTATCCAATGCCCCTAGAGGCCCAGAAGGGAATAACCCCACATATCAGGAGGTTGCTTGCTCAGGGGATTCTTAGGCCTTGTCAATCAGCCTGGAACACCACTTTGTTGCCGGTACGGAAACCTCATTCAAATGACTATCGGCCAGTGCAGGATCTTCAGGAGGTGAACAAGAGGGTTATGGTCATCCACCCTACAGTGCCTAATCCATACACCCTTTTGAGTTCACTTCCTCCAAGCCATCAATGGTACATAGTCTTGGATCTCAAAGATGCTTTTTTTAGCCTTCCGCTAGCACCCAAAAGCCAACACATCTTTGCATTTGAATGGAGTGACCCAGAACAAGGCCTTCACGGACAGCTGACATGGACCCAATTACCCCAAGGGTTCAAAAATTCTCCCACCATCTTCGATGAGGCCCTACATGAAGACCTGGGTGAGTTTCGCCTCCAAAACCCCCAATTGACTCTGTTGCAATATGTAGATGATCTCCTCATAGCAGCTAAAACGAGGGAAGACTGCCTAAGTGGAACCAAGAAACTCTTGACGGTCATAGGAAAATTGGGGTACCAGGCGTCCGTGAAAAAGGCCCAGATCTACAAGCCCGAGGTAAGCTACTTGGGGTACATGCTTAAAGAAGGGCAAAGATGGCTGTCAGACGCTAGAAAAGAGACAGTTCTTAAGATACCCACACCAGATTCCCCTCGAAAAGTTAGAGAGTTCTTGGGATCGGCTGGCTTCTGCCGCCTATGGATACCGGGATTCGCAGAGCTCGCGAGGCCCCTTTATGAGGCAACTAAAGACAATCAGGCCTTTCAATGGACAGAAAAGCTACAAAAGTCTTTCGACCAAGTTAAAGCAGCCTTGTTGTCGGCAATGGCCTTAGGCTTGCCCGATATTACTAAGCCATTCCACCTTTACATTGATGAGAACAAAGGGGTCGCCAAGGGCGTCCTAGTCCAGTAGCTAGGGCCATGGCGTCGCCCAGTGGCATACCTGTCAAAAAGACTCGATCCAGTTGCGTCAGGATGGCCCCCATGTTTAAGAATGATTGCAGCAGTGGCCCTGATGGTCAAAGATGCTGACAAGTTAACATTGGGCCAAGAACTGTATGTAACCACCCCTCACGCTGTTGAGGGGGTCCTAAAACAGCCTCCGGATTGATTGCTCAGTAATGCCCGCCTGACTCACTATCAGAGCTTACTCCTGAATCCAGCCCGAGTTGTTTTTCAGACCCCGGCTGCCTTAAACCCGGCCACATTGTTGCCAGACCCGGACTTAGAGGCTCCGCTTCACGACTGCACAGACATCCTAGCCCAGGTACATGGAATTCGAGCAGATCTGAAGGACCAACCGTGGCCAGATGCAGATAATACCTGGTACACTGATGGGAGCAGCTTTGTTCGTGATGGCCACAGGTATGCAGGAGCAGCTGTGGTAACAGAGACCGAGATCATTTGGGCAAAACCCTTGCCCACCAGGACCTCAGCACAACGGGCGGAGCTCGTAGCTCTGACCAAAGCATTGACTCTAGGACAGGGCCAAAAGTTAAATGTATACACAGATAGCC